CCCTTGTGTGCGCGTCGGCCATGATGTGCATCATACAAGCTGGCACGGTGAAACCGACGTACAACATTTATGTCGTGGACCTGGACCCGAAGTCCAGGTCGCTGTCATCATTTGACGTCGAGTCGATGCTTCAAAAATCAGGCGACAGGCCTGAGGATGCTCCGTTCCATTTATCCGGAGCCGAGTTCGAAGACTCGGATTTGAGCCTCGACATGCTCTACGACAGTCAGCTTCGGACTCTGGACGACGCTGACAGCAGCCATGGAGGCAACCTCTCGGTTCTGTGCTGGCTCGCCACGGAAACAACCTACACGCAAGATTCTGATCACACCATGTTGGAGTGGAGTGCTCCATGCTACCGCGAGATGCAGCAGTCGGAGGATCCGCGCGAGATTTCCGAGAAATCGGAATGCCATTTCGAAGTTTCCAAGTATGGAGAGCTGATAATTTCGGTCTCCGACGCAGGAGTAGCTTTTAGAAGTAATAGAAACGTATCAGGTGTGGAGTTCACGGTCTTGAGTGAGAACAGGGACATTTTGCTGGTCGATGGCGACCATAAGACCTTGTGGAGCTCCGAAGACAACGAAGTTTTCAACTGTATCGAATGAGTAGCTTTTGCATCCGCCCATTATGATTATGATCTTGCAGCACGGTTGCGGCCACGAAGCTGGCCACGGGAGTCGACGACGTCTCAGTTGCGGGCGACCGCCATCGATCTCCGCTCTTTTAGTCTTGAAAGCAATTTCGAGATGACTTTGCGAGAATGATTAATAAGACTTGTATAGCCTACATGATTCAGTTCATTGTCAAAAATTCTTGCAGCTTTTGCTGTGTACGGACCGATTTCAATTGTAAATAAATATTTGAGCCCCGGCTCCGAATAAGTTGTGCAGATTTTAGAAAAGTAGGTGTAGTTGAGAATGAATTATCACCGTGCAACCCTTCTCGCGGACGGTTCGACCTCCATAAAACCTTGAACCTCGTTCCGCCCTCGACTGAGAAGCGGTTGCTCTCAGAATTTGTATGCGGACGCGATGCGGCTCGCCTTGACCTGGACTATGGACTGAGTTCATCAAGGTGCCAGTTGCGATAAATCCATCTTAATGAACTACTTTCTTCCTGATTCTCCACGTTGCGTGTTTCGGATCGACTCTCATGTTCGTCACCACGTTGCCTCTGTCAGGAAACGAGGCCTCTTGCTGCATCCAGGACAGAAGCAGGAGTGCCGAATTTTATTCCTCGTTCCTGGAACAACTGTAAATTGTGTCCACTCCATCATTTTCCTCAGTCCCGGGGAAAGATGATTGGTGCCCTGGTGAGCCATGTTGTTGCCAAACATCGAGAACCCGAACCAATGATAGAAGTTGCAAGGACCGGAGTGAATATGAAACAGAGGGGACAATCCGAATGTATGGAGCTAGTAACTGAAAGGATATCAAGCATACATGCCATTTGATGAAGGTTTGATTCTCGACTTTTTTCATCCAGTTCTTTCTTATCTGTCTCTAGAAGCTAATGAATTCTGATGAAATTGTTTGACCTGCAAAGAAACAAACTAACAAAGCAATGTACATGTGCTCAAGCTCAGACTCGCTCAATTCAGGAGCCGAACAAAACACTAGCCATCGGCTGCTTTTGTATATAGACTGCTTGTTTATATTCAAAGCTCTTCAAAGCACCGGAGGATGTTTGAAATCTCACACATACAATTGACCCACAGAGGGAAGATGGATAATGAAATCATTCTCAGCAACATTACATTTTTATCTCGCGTTCAAAGCTAAGACGGAAGATGGAAGACAGTTATACAAACGAAATGCATGGTCGTATTCTACGTCAAGACCCGTAGAAAAAGAAACGAGACTGAATTTCCAAATCTCTGTCCTCGCCCTCCTGTTTCGGACAGGACTAGTTAACAGAGCCCAACATTGGGTGCCCGTACCCACGCCCATGCCCAAACCTACCCATGCCCATGGGTTTTGGGTGGGTTTTGGATGACATTATTTTTCCATGGGCGGGCATGGGTGGGCACAAGTAATGCTAAGGACAGTGTTTGTCAAGATCCAACCAAGAATTGGTGTAATTTGAATAGCATGGGTGGGCTTAGGTCGATGCTGATGGTTATGGTCTGGTCTCGGTGCAGATTTGAAGTAAAATGTTGGCCTCTGCTAGGTAACACTGTAAAAGTAGCATCGAACTAATTGTGGACTATTTCTCGTACCATGAGGACCATGCCCATGAACGATCGGCAGCTCGTCGAACATCAAACACCGATGTTCATGAAGGGTTAACATGACACGAACATCGGTGCTTCATGTCAACCAAGAAAGAAAGCGGTCGTTGAACTATCTATGGTGGGCCACCTGCAATCACACCTCGACGCGAGCAGAAGATGGCTTCCGGTCTCAGAGCAGAAGGCAAACATCGGGTCCTGGGCTGAGGACAGCCAAACCACAGGCCAGGTCAGGAATTCACCTCGTCCTCAAGAGCCGCGACGCCGAGAGAGAAAATAAATCTTCGCAGGTCTTCCGCGCCTTTGTGTCATGCAGGTGCAGGACCGCGCAGTGATTCGACATCTTCCCTAGTCGGGCCCAACTTCTGTTCCAAGCCTTGCGCTCTCGTACCTCGCCAGGGAGATTCAAGAATCGGGGTTCCATACGGAATACGGGATCGTAGTGTTATCTGAATCGAGCAGTCGCGGTCCGGCTTCGCCGGGCGACGAGGTTGTTGACAGGGCGGACGTCGAGACCGGAAGACCTCCGGAGGCGACGGGTCCAGTCGCTGCGAGATCGCAGATCGCTCCCTCCCGGCCGAAACATGTCGCATAAAAAATTCCAAGTCTATAAAATATGGATCCGAACCGTGAGCAATCGATGCAGTAGATACGGGCCGAGTGTTTGGAGAATATGTGTGCGTGTGAGCCCGGGAAGGTGAGATGATTCCGTCACAACATCTCGAGCTAAGCTGGGCTGGGCTGGGCTGGGCTGGGCCGCTTGTCTTGTGGCCAAGGGCCCCTGAAAGCAGCTGAGGCGCATGTGGAATCTTCAGAATTCCATGAAAACTCATGAATGCATTAAATGTAATACGATGTGAGTTGGTCACAGAACCTTCGGACGTCGTGAATTGATCATGTTCGTTTGCATTAATTTTTTAACAAATGGGCTCCTGGTCTATAAGAGAGGAGCCTCAGCCCGCCATGGAGGTGCAAGACCAGCCAGCGGTCACGACGATTCTTGCGTGTACAGATTGTGCTCGGACTCGTAGGAATGACCATCTGACTGAGGTTGAAATCGTCTTTTGACGAGGTCTCAGGTAAACAATCTCACTTCCTTCGATTCAATGTTCGTAAACCAATCAGTCTCTGTTCGCAGTCGCTCATGAGATTACTGTTTCTTGAAACTGGTCAAATTAGATCAATCTCGGTTTCAAAGAGCTATCTCCGTGTCCATGAGCATGCTTGAGTGCTCCTTGCGTCTGATGGATTTCAAGTGATCGAAATTTGCACGATGAGGTTTGCTTTTTCCTCTTATATTCTCTACTTAAAAATTTCTCTCATCACTAGTATTGATCTGTTCAAAATCTAGCTGAGGCGTGCCACACATTCCGAAGTGTCCTTATGACGGATTTCTGAATTGAATCGGTGGAAATTTCACAGAGGGATTGAGCGAAATGGCAAGGGCTGGCATCCCATATGTGGCGATCGTCTTCGTCGTTGTCACATGCGCGTTATTCTTCCATTTGCTGCAAAAAGGATCGCCTCTAAACAACTGGGACGCTCTTCGATCAACTTCAACATGGTTCCAGCTCCAGACCCACGGGATGATTGATTCGGTATCCAAGTACACTCATAGATCGACAATCATGATGGACTGTGCGATGGAAATCGATGGCCGCGCTGTGAGGGTTGACTGTCCAGCTCTCTGCACAAGCTACTTCAAAGGACGCAAGACTTCAGTCATCTGTCCAACCATTACAAGCTTTTGAGCTGATCTCATGTACAGAAACAATGTACAGCTTTCTTTCAGCTTTCAGCTGGCCCGTACGACTTGTACATCATTTTCGCGACACAATCCGTTCCCTTATATTGTTAAGACGCTCGCGGCATGGGACGGGAATCGAATTTGGAGAAGAAGAAGGCCAGGTAGTTGGCGGTAGACGTAGAGGGTGGTGCTTTCTCTGCTGTGCTTGATTGTATATTTTAGACAACATTTGATGTACTTAATTTATCGTGGTTAACGTATACATTGCTAGTGGCAATGTTATCGCTCACTTATGCTTGCTGTCTATAATCTTCTTTCAGTGGCTTTTCGGAGTTAATTGTGCATCTAATCGTCCCACATGAATCAATGTTTGGAAACTGTATCAAAGTATGCAGGAAATAGTTCGACTTGTTGATTAGGACTAATTGCTGCGAAATATTTCACGTACTCCTCCATACACTTTTTGATTAGTTTCTGTGTAGCCTCTGGACCGTCGACTCATTAGCTGACTGAGAGACAAATTGTGTCAGCTGTAATCAGCAAATTTTGCAGCACATGGTACTTTGTTTCGAAATTATGGAGCACGCACATCGAGACTGAAAGCCCTGCGGAGTCCGGCTCAATCGATCGAGTAAAGCCTTGGAAAATTGTTCTTCTGATGTTGGTCACCAACAAATGACGTCTCCCACTTGTGTACTCCCTCTGATTGTCAGTGACGAGTACCGTGGTTCCTAATGACCTGCAAATAGTAGTTCCCGTGCAAACATAGAGCTGCAACTTGGAGGATGATGCGCAACGCTTTTACCGAACGGGTTCTCGCCGTGTCATAGCGCTTCTGGTAATGATTTCAGGCCAGCACCTGCCGTGACGATCCCTGGCAATGGTACTGCAGTCTATGAGCAACTACACAGCATCTTACCGATCATGATGTTGTCTCGAGACATCTCGTCCATGGACCTCGATAACAAAAAGAATCTGACAAGAGTTCTCATGAATTTTATCTAAGGCAGAGACAATTGCAAGCCAATATTGTCATGAGATGACATTATATGTATATTATGGAGGCACGGCAAGACAGCTGCAGCTCGTGTAGCTTATTCTCGTCACAGCGGGGAAATCGACGATCTAACCGGTCCACCTAAATTATTATTTTTCTAGTTCCTTGAATCGTCTATGTATCAACACCGGGACCATCGATACGCACTAAAACATGAAAAATATACGAGATCATCAAAGGCCAGATCTATGTCCGTCACGATCCAAGCACGAAGATTGTAACGACTACTGATGCTGCAAGCTGTAGTCGCAGTCGTCAATGACCATAGAGAGCTGGTACGGGTAGACGTCCGTAGCGAGCCATTTCTGGACTGTGAAGCGGTGGGTGTTGCACGAGAGGCCGGGTTTGGAAGAGGTCACGCTCACTTCGACGTAGTCATTATACCATCCGTGGTGATCACCACTGCCATCGGAAGAGATCTCGAGTCCACAAACAGAAGTTTTCAAACATTCGCCTAGCCCGGTGAACACGTCGAGGCTGTTCCTCTCAAAGTAGTTGTGATTTGGGCCCATGAGTGACCCTCCCCATTCGCTGATGTTGCTGATTTGTGATGAGGTCCCGGTGACGTCGAAAAACCGCGTGCTGATGCGCGAATCCGTTCCGGCTTTGGGTAGGAATCCTGTTTTGACGTATAGCGTGTACACGCAGTAATCCTGCGAATTGGCAACGAAGACTGTCAGATCTTCAGCCTGTTTGTCTCTGAGCTCTGCAGCGTCCAGTCTCGTTCAATTCACCGAGCAGTTCTAATAGCTGGTTCTCAATGTCCTGAAGGTAAACTTTTGTATCCCGAGCAGATAAAAACTGAGCATATGCAGAGTCTTCACGAGGCGAATTTGTCAGTAAGGCTATCCGACGGTCTGTGAGATAACATTTAGGAACTGGCACAAAAGTTGCAACGAGATATGACAGATATTTGGATCTGTTCAGAGCTTTTAACTGCAGCTGGAGTGAAGTCACCATCAATCATTCATTCATCCGGGTATTAGTGAGGGAGATGGTATTCAGACCGATGTGCGAGTACGGAAGAATGGTAGAGAGAGGCACAACGAAACGAAAGCGCCAGAAGCAAAATGTGGTGAAATGTACCGTGGCAACGACGGAAGAAGCCAGCAGAGAGAGAATCGCAAAGACGAAGGTGCCGTACGCCATTGCCTCAGCTTATAGGTTGTCTTGAGAGGCTTCAGGCTTCGATTAGTGACTTCGTTCCTCTTCTTGCTGTCTTTCTTATTGCATCTATCTACGCGCACATCTCCTGTGGCTCTTCATCTCTGCACTCTTCTTCATGTCCATGAGGCGCTTTTAAACCATGGCCGAAAAGACCTTCAGAGGCTGCACATGACTGGAGAACATCCAGCTGAAAATAGTACTTGCTCTGACAAGGACGATGACACAGTGGCCACACTCTCGGGACGCATAATTGCAGATGCCAGGATGCACAAGTCGTGACTTGCCTGAAAATTAAATCCAGCTGAGGGCCAGCAAGCTGATGCTGCGGCCCTCTGAAGGCGAGGGAAACATAGAACTCTGTCCCTTCAAAACCAGATCATGTTGGTGGGACCCGAAGATCAACGTGCAGTCTCTCTTGACATTCGACATCAGATTTAGGCGATTTTGGACGAAAGTTCACCACAAAGGTCGGAGAAAAAATACAGTTGTTTCTGCTGTTGCAATCGTCACAATTCGCCATCGTATTTGGCTGGCCAATAGGTAACATAGAGTGAAGATGTTTATCTAGAGTTTATCTCGATTCAGTTCATTTCGAACTGGATTCTCTTCAGTTAACCATACACATCGTAAAACTGTCGATTGCAAATCTCCACCATTAGCAGACCCCATTCAACCACAAGTTGCGAACGAGCGCTTCAGTCCCTGCGTGAACCCCCTGAGTCGCCAGAATCTAACCCGCTTCCTACCCACCGTGAAAACTGCGTAGGTCATTTTTAACCCTGAACATTGTGTCGAACAGGGACTCGTGTCCATATTTCATCGTAAGAACCTTTCAATGATTGTCGCTGTCGATCGTGGCGACCTCCACTGTGGTTGTGTCCTCTGTCCAGTTGTGCATTACAGAATCTGGGTGGTGGGACCAATTTTATCATGAATTCCTGGGTCTGGAAAACATGTACCGAAACATAGAAAGAGCAGTTGCCCATGAAGCTCATACTGCACTAGACCAAGTGAGTGTTATACTTGCCATCTCACACGTGTATATGTAAATATTAGTATCTTTGTTGTTTTGTTTAAGATTATACACATTCAATTTCTAGATAATACGTCGTAAGCCAAGTATACATCCAAACAAGTATTTTAGAAATTTATAAAACTTTATAGTTTGAAACTTAAAGTTTCACGGAACGATTCTGAATCATAAAATTGCAAAACGATAAATAAATTGGTTATATGTTATCACGATAGAAAAATAGGTAGAATATTATTTGATTCGTCAACGCATTATGTGTAGAAGAAATGAAATATATTGAATTGTAAAATAACAACAACTGACTTATGCATAATTTCTAATACATAAATATTCATGACTATTTCAAAAATAAAATTATCATAAATTTATAATTTGTTCAATTAGCATATTATTGTGCTAATCTCGAATTTAGTAAAATATTTTCAAAAGGAAATTGTTAAATTGTCGCATCATTCAATCTGATTTTTATGTCTAATAACGTATTGTCTTGTGTATTTCAATATTGGATATATCAAAATGTAAAAAGATATTGATATTTTTTCATAGATAATAATTTTACCTTATTCAAAACAATCAATAAAAGAAATCTTATATATTCAATACTCAAAGCAAATTCTAACGTACAATTTGAAATAATATTTTAAAGCATTATATCTTAACAATGATCAAGACTTTTGATTCATACAACTATGATTTATCTCCGTCTTTAAGAAAATTGAATTCAACAAAATAAGTTTTATTGGCTAACATGAAATTAACTTAAATAAATTCTTTCATTTCTATAAATTCATACTTATGATATGCAATCAAATTTTCTATCATGATAGTTTTTATAAAGAATAAACTTAATTCTTAATTTTTAAAATCGTTTCTTTGAACAGATATGAAATTTTCAGTCGTTGCCTCTTTTTTTTTTAATAAGACTTTTGTGATATTTTGCAAAAAAAAATATTTTTTAGAATTTTAACCAAGTTTTATGCTCTAAAAGTAGAAAATGGAAAGAAAATTAAACAAAAAATCTGAATTAATATATCACAAGACTTGAACATTGGATTATAATTTTAAAAATAAATTGAAAAATTCTTAACTACAACTACTAGAAATTAATTTAATCTTTGAAATTTTTTTAACATCAATAGGAAACATATTACCTTTTGCATTTGACTTTAGCCCGATCCAGCGCAAAGCGCTGGATCGGGCTAAAGTAAAATTTAATACCTCACAAATGGATTTACGAAGTAATAAATTGAACATAAATTATGAGAAAATTTAGTAAATATATATACATTATTTCCTGGAATAAATAGAACTTAGCTTTTTTTATTCAAAAATGATTACTTCAGATGTTTAAATACTATTGACATGGATATCTTGAACCAATTACAAATTTTTATAAATTTATGCAAGCCTTTGTTGTTATGTATTGCAGTAAAATTATCTTGAAATATTAACAAAAGCATACAATCAATAAGAAAACAGGTAATTTACCTTGATGATATTTCGTGCATGTAACACAATATAATGTACTAATTAAAATGCAAAATAGAGCCACCCGACCTCATGCTTCTGAAGTGACGGCCGGGACAGACCCTTCATATCTACACCGTTCGTGCGTTACCGTCGTGTGAATCAACCCCACTGTGTAATCAGTTAGGTTTTCGGGTAAACTGTAGTTGTATCATTGCTTCACGGGCAAGCTAGATTTGCTGCTTCACATTTAAATCGCAAACATAGTAAACTCAAATGAGAATAACAAATAGCGATCCACTTCACTGAATTGTTTTGATCAAACTAACTTGCTGTACGCGAAGTCAATCTTGAGAGAAGAAGCAGCACTCACTCGGTTTTTCGAGGGGTTAGCAGTTTATCTCTTTTCAATCTCGAGAAAAGAAGCAGCATTTTCTCGGATTTTTTAAGGTTTAGCAACTTATATATTTTCTATCCATTGCTTTGACATTTCTTGCAATGTAGTATACAACAAAATATTCTGATTTTTCTCTTTGCTCCGTCTTCCTTTCCCTTGCACTTCTATCAAGATTCAATCTGTCTTGTGGTTTCTTGTAGTCTTCGATGCATATTCGCATTTTGTTCTTGCAGTGTAGTATCCGACAAAACACCCTGATTTTTCTCTTCAATCCGTCTTACTTTTTCTTGTGCTCCTATCAAGATTTTATTGATCTTGTGATTTCTTGTAATTCTTGATGCGTACTCTTGTATCGTTCTCGACATGTGAAAGCCAACATCAAACGCGCACACTACACTATACCCACAAACGATATAATTTAACCAATGAAAGCACAAGAAGATCCCAATCGGCATAATCTAAGTTGTTTGCATCTTACTCCTTGATTATACTAGACCGGACTATCCTTCGAGAAATTTTAAGATAACTTCAAAAATTTGTATGCATGTTCTTCACTTCCATGAGTTTGGAGAAACAACAAATCCAGATTATTTCCAGCAATTTAAGCGATACAATGACCAACTTCTCAAAATAAATCCAGATCTACTGAAAGTTTGGGACGAATTAGACAACGGACTCGCCATAATAACAAAAACCATGCCATCTTTTGATCTTGAGACGGTTGAGATAACGTACATTCTCTATTAGTAGAAAACCAAGAAGGGTTTACCCTTACCCTAAAACTGTGGAGAGGTCTGTTGAGATAATCGACTGTCTCTTATTAATATAAGATCAAAAAGGGTTTACCCTAATCCTTAACCTCCCAAATATATGAAACTCTAATACACTACGAACTCATTATTATATGATATTTTCTCATAGACTTTGAGAGTATACAACAGCTGAGTTGACTGAGCGATCCGAAGCACACTTGTTCATTGTTTCCTTTGTCTTGATACCTTTGTTTTTTCAGTTTTCTTCTCGTAACACGTTATCAGAACGCTCGCTCATATCAGTCTGAAGTTGAAATCATTCCAAGTGCTTTGAGCACAGAGCAATGTTACGCGTGAAGAAGAGCTGAAAGATCGTAAACAACTTTGTGTTCTTGGTCTGTAACTCGATAATAGGCTTCTTTGTTGGTGTGTGAGCTTGTTGTGGAGTGTTTGGCAGTGATTCAGACTTTGACGAACTCAGAGTACTATCCTCGCTGCAGTTGCTGCTATTCCACTGAGCATAGGGTGTCTTGCGGATCACAAGTAAGTACTGCAAGGTTTAGGGTGAAGCTTGAAGTTGAAAGATAGGCTTACTACTCTAGTTTGTTCTAGCAAAGCTGTAGATTTGTTGTTAGCCTGCCTCTTTCTTCTTGGTGCTCTTTTGCACTCTTTGAAACGTCATTCTCTCCTCTACCGTTCCCTTTCCATAGTCTCATCTATCCGTCTCCATCTCATCTTTCTTCCCTATTCATACCTTTGGGGATTCTTTTGTACACAAATACTAGAGAGTCTTGTGTACCTTTGTACACAAGTAGTATTCTTGTTCACAGAGTAGATAGATAGATTAACTATGACGACAGAAGCACAATCCAAGTACAGTAGAATCACTCCGCTCTATTTCAAACTTTAAGCATCAGATGGGACAAAGTTTTTAGATTGACACTTCAACAAAAGGACGTATCTCTTTGCAAAAGAACTGATGTACACAGCAATTGTCTCTATATTATTAGAGACAGTCGGTTATCTCAATAGAGACTACATATGTGACCAACAAAGAAGCTCTCCGAACAAGTTAAATTGCAAAACTAGTAACACGCTCGACTCTGGCACTCAACGCCAGGCATCAACACAATCATGACCAACGAACTAAAAATGTTCACAGCAAGATGCAACTAATAGCTATTGCTAATTACAGTTCCTCCCATAAAGCCAAACTCAAAATCCACTAGTAATTCAGCATTGATGAGCAAAAAGTTTGTTGAAGAAGAAACACAATTGAAATGTATTTGAAGCTCTGTAAAAATAATTTAATAGATGAAAAGCAATAAAAAACTCCAGAGTAAGCTTGCATACGACTCACTCTCTTGCTGACTGCTCAAACAAAAACTAAAAAATGTGCCTTGCATGCATAAATAAATGGAGAATATACGCTAGAGCAAAGACCAAAACATTCGCTCAAGAAAAAACACAATGCCAAAGCATAGAATTAAAAACGTATTCAAAATTGTAGGATCATCATTTAAAAGATGAAACCAGTAGAAAACTCCAAAAGAAGTTACATACGACTCACTTGCTGGCTAGTTGCTTGAATAAACACAAAAGAATGTGACTCGCGCGACAGAAATGGAGAAATATGCTAGAAAGAAGATCAAAACATGGAAATCGGAATGAAAGAATGCGAAGGTACAAGATACTCACAAGAAAGTAAATGGAAAGTTGTGGAAAGCAACGAACATAAAAGCAAACTAAAGAAAGGTTTAGAGAGCTATTTCTCTTACTCGTTTGCATGCGAGCTTTCTCTGAAAGCAATTCAAATGTGGAGCAGCAAATCTAACGTGACGCTGAGCAATAATACAAGCATAGTACATCACACACACAAGTGGTTGAGTTGGCTTGAATTACAAGAATTTATGCACAAACAGTGTATGAAGTGCTCTAGCTAGAGAGATTTGCTTGATGGGATCCATCAAGTTTCAATTTACCCGATGGTACCCCACGGACGGTGTGTCGTCGCTGAGTTCTAGTAGATGTTCTAGTACATATATGATCTTGTAAGAATATGTAGCTCCTCAGATTGTAGCACCGCTTCGGAAAGCTGATCGATCATTCTAATATAATTCCGCGATATCCACACTGTGATATCTCAAGTTGAATAGAGTTGGGTGCCCGAACCTAAACTGTTCAGAAGGCAGCGTTCGATTACCGCGATCTAGCAAGCATACACACTGAAACTTACTTCTCCTGACTCCAGCAACGGACCGAGCTATTTTTTCATCTTCCACATCTTACCGTCCCATTCTTCTCAAGAAAGTGGTTAAACAAGGTGAGACTGTACATAACAATGAGTTTACGATGAGACTCTACTCACTCTACCTACGGCGACACGGAGTATCAGTAACACAAAGTGTGATTCACGCACCGTCGTCTGTTCATACTAGAACAGAGTTACGTGGACAGTCGGTGGAGTCCCATTGGGTAAATTAAAACTTGATGGGTCCCATCAAGCAATTTATCTTTGGATGGGATCCTATCAAGCAAATATCTTGCTCTAGCCATCAACGGGTAGGCTTTAGTTAAAATTCTATTCAGATTTAATCATATCATTGAAGATTTTGATAAATTCTATTATATAGTGATAAAATAATTATTCAGCTTAAATTAACCATATTCAATCGATTAATTATTACTATTGATTATTTTAATGATCTTCATTTTCGTAATTAAATTGTTTAATCTTTATTTATATATTAAATCTAATCAATGAAAGTTAAAAATAACACCAATTGAAGTTCACAGTGTTAAAATTTTGAATTAATAAACCTTGTTTATTCGTGAATGTAGTCTTTGTGAAATAGCCAAATCTACAATAATTACAATTATATTTTTATATGAGTTTTTTGATATTATGGTAATGTTTTGTCACGTGTGAAATGGCCAAATTCATTATTACAATTATTATATATTTCTATGAGTTGATTTAATATATGGTAATGTTTTGCCACTAAATCATGAACGAGTAACCAATCATGTTGAAGGTCCTGTCAGGTTCGTTGCACGACTATACTTATAATTTCGGGCGCCTAGACTTACCACGGCCATTTAATTTGTTCGTTAAGTTTTCTCTCTGCCACGGCGTATTTTTCCGAGCCTGGCGTATGAAGACTTGCAAAAGCCAATGCGACCTGAGAATCGGTAGAACTGCGCCGCCACGAACCCGTATTAGTGCTGTAGAGGACTTTGTACAAGAAGGAAGGACTGAATCTCCTAAATCGGCCGAAGACCTCGTCTGTGATCGACCCAGAGCGGCTGCGAAGCTAGCTCCAACAGATCACCAAAAAACATTTTAGATCTCCGAAACTATCTATGCTAAATAATTAAAAAACTGGGCATGCTAAAATTCATCTAACTTCAATGCTTTAGAATATATAGCACCGGTGAATGATCTCTAAATAGCAATGTAAAGACAAGAGTATTCTTAGAAACCTCATCCAGCTTGATGCTCTTGCTGATCTTCTCAAAGAGACAAGTTTGACTAAAGTATATAATGCATTCATCTTAAAAATGAAAGTCATTTCTCCATAGTTTCGAGCAATTTCAGAGATGAACGATGAATTGAAGATCATCCACTCCAAGTGGATGATCACTCTTATTGGAATCTTACATTGGAATCAGATATCACATTTAGATAGGTGCAATGATTTTGAAGGCAATGAGACAATAGCTGCCCTTAAGTAAAGCAAACCTTACTTCCAACCTGGCAAGACGTGGAAGCATCTTATTGATAAGGAATGGTTATATAATCTCCTTTTCCTTGCAGTACAATCTGCCAACTATGTCGCATACTTACATATGAGAGATATTGTAACTAATATGTCATAAGTTTCTCGTATATACACAAGTGGATAGGAAGTTATTGGCCACACGTACTCACGTCGTGACTTTCTAGTGAATATTCTACTAACATGATATTGCAGTGAAGTACTCAAACTATCAATCCGAGAAGGAAAAAAAGCAACCAAACAACTGCCCCAGATTGTCAAATTTGTTTCATATTCCAGGAGGCCTTACTAGACAAAACGGGTTTTCAGTGAACAAGACCAATTACCGAACAGAGGCGAGTGATCAAGCATGCTAATGAGGGCTACTCTCCACGTCCAACTCATCATGGACTATGTGCAGTACCTGTGCTAGCACACGAGTCACCACAGAGGAATGGTGATCTGCCCCATACACCCTTCCACAAGAACGTACTCCTTTACCTCATCCTGACTTCGTACGACAGAAATGCAAGAGGAACGGTGATCTATTCCAGACGCCCTTCCGCAATAAAACATTGCTCAACCTCATCCTGACCCTGGCCGAAGGAAAGACGCTGTAAGAAACGGTTCACAAGAATCCCTCTGATTGAATCTTCCACACTAAAGGCTTAATCAAGAGCTATTCACAAGGCATCGAAGCATCTATGTAACTCTGCCTGCGCTGGAGCTGAATCGTCTCAAATGCTCGGTGGGTCCGAAGGTTCGTCTCCAAAAGAGGCAACTTCCCTGAACTGAATGAAGAGGCAAATATCAGAGTGAAGGGTAGATCATTGGTGGGTTTGAAATATTAGTTTTATTCTCTTTTGGTTTTTGAGAATCCGAGCCAAAGAGATTAGGAAAACCCCTAAGATCCGGGCCTTATACATCCATTTGTGGTATAATGAGGCGGCTATTTTATCACTGAAATTACTACTGTACTGACTGGCGCATAAGCACAACCGCCATCGCTGCTGTTTGAGAACTACCTTCACAAACCGTACTAACAGACTACTTCGCGCTTTGAACAATTCAACTATTTTCTCGGAAGTTGGAAATATTTCTGAGCACCTCTTGCAATCGTCTCCCTTTTGTCAAAATTTCAACGGTTCAGATCTGATCGGAAATTCGCGCATATATTTCGTGCTGCGCGTCGTAGGTAATTACTACGGAGAGAACCTCAGGTCTCACCCACCTGCTTGCATGCTGCACAGCTATGAAACCCGACATTGCCAGCACAATTCCAAACCACGCACACTCTCGACGCAGACACAGTTCCCCTCTCCACAGGGCGGATTTTTTCAGGAAATACAAATCGATCGTGATGTGGGAAAACGGAAAAAGATGTTACTATATGATCGAGCCTAGTACATTTCGCTCCCTATCTTATGAACAATGAGGAAAGAGGAATCGTGGGTTCAAAAACACCGTAAATACACCAATATACCAATCATCATCATGCACCTCCGGGCGGGTCGGCGCCACTCTAGAAGCACTTCCTGTGGACGATGGACGGGCCCGACTCGTCGTACTCGGCCTTGGCAATCCACATCTGCTGGAAGGTGCTGAGAGACGCGAGGATGGATCCTCCGATCCAGACGCTGTACTTCCTCTCGGGCGGCGCCACCACCTTGATCTTCATGCTGGCGGGCGCCAGGGCGGTGATCTCCTTGGTCATGCGCTCGCTGATGCCCGGGAACATGGTGGTTCCGCCGGAGAGCACAATGTTGCCGTACAGATCCTTCCTGATGTCGACGTCGCACTTCATGATCGAGTTGTAGGTGGTCTCGTGGATGCCCGCCGCTTCCATGCCGATCAAGGACGGCTGGAACAGCACCTCGGGGCACCGGAAGCGCTCGGCGCCGATGGTGATCACCTGCCCGTCGGGGAGCTCGTACGTCTTCTCGAGCGAGGAGCTGGATCGCGCCGTGTCGATCTCCTGCTCGAAGTCCAGGGCAATGTAGGCCAGCTTCTCCTTCATGTCGCGCACAATTTCGCGCTCGGCCGTGGTGGTGAACGAGTAGCCTCGCTCGGTCAGAATCTTCATCAGCGCGTCGGTGAGGTCGCGCCCGGCCAGGTCCAGGCGGAGGATGGCGTGCGGCAGCGCGTACCCTTCGTAGATGGGCACGGTGTGGGTGACACCATCGCCGGAGTCCAGCACGATCCCGGTGGTGCGGCCGCTAGCGTACAGAGATAACACAGCCTGAATAGCCACGTACATAGCTGGAGCATTGAATGTTTCGAACATAATTTGAGTCATCTTCTCACGATTGGCCTTCGGATTCAGAGGAGCTTCGGTGAGAAGAATCGGGTGCTCTTCCGGGGTCACTCGAAGCTCGTTGTACAGAGTGTGATGCCAGATCTTTTCCATGTCGTCCCAGTTCGTGACGATTCCGTGCTCAATTGGGTACTTGAGAGTCAGAATACCTCTCTTCGACTGGGCCTCGTCGCCGACGTACGCATCCTTCTGTCCCATGCCCACCATAACTCCGGTATGACGGGGGCGGCCGACGATGCTGGGGAACACTGCTCGGGGAGCGTCGTCTCCGGCGAAGCCAGCCTTGACCATTCCGGATCCATTGTCGCAGACGAGGGGGGTGATGTCCTCGGTCTCAGCCATGTTAACGAAGGAGGTGTCCGAAGAACTTCGAACGCGAAACCTCGAAGATCTCCGCAAACGCGTTAACGAAGCGATTGAGCTGCTCGCTCACTTCGACTCGAAATTCTTGCGTTGGGCGTGAGCGTCCTGAAGGCGGTGATGGTCACAAGAACAACAAGCGCGAAGCCGAGCAGAGCAGATCCGAGACAGAAGCACTGGGAGCACAAAGCGAGTTTGAGAGGCTCTGTTCGACGAAGAGCTCTGTGAAAACAGAATGGAAGATCGGCTTTATATGGGGCCTCTTTTCGAATGTCCCCCGCTCTTATTTTATTGCTCGAATATCGCTGGCCCCCCTTCCATTCTGCCCCACAGTGCTCTCGCCCTGTCGCATTCTCACGAATTCCTCATATTTTCCTCAGCATCATCGGTGTTCCTTACCTGTCTCGGCCCCAACCGAATCTCCCCTCTCAATTACCCCCACGATCTTCTCTCAATTCTGCCCCCACTGTGTCACTCATGCGGATCCCTCCTCGCCCGCTTCTGGACCGCAACCAAACGCCGATCCATGTCCGTCGCCGCTCGCACCAGCTCCCCCTGACATCAGGTGGTCGGCCTGGGCGGTCCCTTTCGTCCCCCTTGTGTCTCACAGCTGGGCTGCTGGACTGTCGTGGGCCTCTTTACGTGGTCCGCTGGTTTGCATTCCTCCTCACTCCTACTCGGAACTCGCGACGCATATTCCCGTCCGTTTTATCAAATCCCAAACGACCCAAAATTACTGCTGTGCATCCTCGAGCTTAGCGGAAGCAGATTAATCTCCCGGGACTGATATGTCGTAATTCAAGAGTTTAACCATTATCAACAGTTCAGATTATACGCAAGAAGCTATTACGAGAAGGCCTGAACTTACTAACTAACATTCACAGGAATCAGACTAACTGAGACACTTGATTATAATCATAATGCTGGGGTATGAAGTTACTAACTAACTTTCACAGGAATCAGATTAACGGGGACGCTTGATTATAATCATAACGCTGGCGAAACAAGGTTTCGAGATAGAATTCTGGCTATGGATTCTAATTCTACCAGGGAGATGTGCCCCGAGCCTTGGACTTCAACTTCCCGCTAGATCGTCCGGATCTGTGGTTCGTTGCCGGATTGTTATGGCAACTTTACTGTACCCGGCCCGATCTTCCTGGTCCTGCGGCTGGATCGACATTCCAGGACTTGGACAATACTGCACCCGAAGACTCACTCTCTCACTGGAGGGAGGTAGATCGTTCGACGTGGTCCCTTCTCTGGTTGAGTTGGCCAAGTCTCCAATGCTGCGAATTGTAGCAGTCCAGTAACTGGTGAGCCATTCAAAGCGTATCACTGAATTTATTGTGGGGTTCTTAAGAATTTTGGATAAGTAAAAATTATGTAAGAAGACTCTCAATAATTTGAAATAATTGCGGAACTTCTTATTCAACAAGTTTCACACACTGCAGTAACAAGAATGGGTGGTACATGTATGAAATCAAACATGCAATAGGAGACTAGCTCTAATATCAGCGCAATGCTAAATGCGTACCCTTGCATCTGAAAATTTGAAGAATTGTTCTCGTCTGAAAAAATGTTTATCTCGTAGATTTCTCGACAAATGTTATATCTAGGATGAATACTACTTATTTTCCTTTCCTGATTATTTTCTTATAAATAATCTGAAAAAAATGCTACACCTTGACACCAAGTATGGTCATCTCTTGTGCACAACTCACCTCTATATCCGAATCAATGTCCATATTTTTACAAAGCCTCAAAGCTACATGAACAAAGAAAGAGCTTAACTCTTTACAAATTTCTATACTTGTATACATTGGATTTAGCCTCCGATCTTGGCATTGAGTAGTATGAGTAATCATTGCTTTCATTTTCTTTCAAGTATAAGATTGGTAACTACTAAAACACCACACAACTACAAAAATAATCTTAAAATTAGAGTCATTCGTAGACCACTTGAATGATAGACCACAAATGAAGGGATTAATCTGTGCTTAATTATGAGAGGTCAAAAATACAACCCTTCCAAGGAATCCATTCTACCGAATATTCCTCACAGTAATAATAATCGCAAATGAAAGAAAGACCTACCCCAACCCTAGGGATAGCAAGGCATATCAAGACTTCCTTCATATTAAGTTATATTTTTCTCATGTCATATATCATATCATCACTAATGGTGATATATGCAGCTATCTTATGATCTTCAAATGAACAAAAAAAATTGTATGAACTTTCCGACAAATACGGCAGTTCCACATTTATATGTAACTAATCAAGATGTGAATTTATGTATCACGTCTACATTGAATCTCAATGCTTTGGAGAGAAAATTGTTATGAGTCAAAAAACCTAAAGGGATTATTGCATCAACTTTCACATTATTGCATTTTTGTGAAAGCAAAAATGTAAACAAGAGCTAGATAATGATTGGAAAGATCCGCAAATATCTGCATATAAAATTCTCAAATTTATGGTTCATCAAGGTAGATTGTAAATCTTTGGTCAATTGGTGAATAAAAAATATGCAGATGGTATATCATGTCTTCTCACCAAAGATAACTTATCTTTAGTATTTTGCAATGATAACTTTGTTATAATCTTGTATTCACAATTTAAAAATATCCCAAGTATATGACCATATACGCACACACATCTAGAACATATCGAATGAGACAAAAATGGTATTTTCTGTGAATTTCAATAATCTAAATAACCTATATTATTAATATATTTATCTCTTTTCATAAAATTAGAAAGAATGTTTAGAATGAGCGTGATATATAGTTATATACCCTAAGATCTATAGTCGGAAAATACTCCTCGTGGGAGTCGTAATAAAAAAATTGCAATTTAGGAAATTTAATTTAAAGAAAAAGAAAGAGAAAGCTCAGAAAAATTTATGTTCGATTAAATTTAGAATATGATGCTTGCATATTCAGAAAGTAAATTTTATCTATATACAAAACCTCTTTGGATTATGAAAACGCTTAACATCATGAGACAAGATTTTGTTTAAATGCTACCCAAGACTTTTTTATAAAGTTATAAGTTTCAAAATCTAGAGAGTTAGAAATTTGTAAGGTCTCAAGGATTATAGAAATCCTTGAGCGATTTGTCATTGCTAGAACGCTACATAGGCTTGTAAATGGATTCAAAAAATAATTTGCCCTCAAGACATTAGATCTAGACGCTGTAATGAAGCCTCATATGTACATCACATCTTTTTCTATAGCATAGTTATCAAGCCTCATATGTACATAACATCTTTTTCTATAGCATAGTTATCGTCATGAAAATAGAAATTTACATTCACACTGATCAATCCATGAAATGATGTGTTTACAAGTCAAATGATATGCAAAAAGCATGTCTATTCTTAACATATAGTGTTCAAAAATATCATATTAAATTACTTTTAACTTCGTTATTTAAATTCATATAGTCCTAAAATGAACATGATTGATATGTTTATCAATATCATCATCTCATGGATACACCATGAACAAAATCAATATAATCTGAATCGATCTTTCAAATAATTAAAACCTGAACCTTACGCGGGTCATGTTTTGTTAAACTTTAAGGAATTATTCCGATACCTAAAGATGTAAACATTCAAAGTTGAATGTTTGATAATCTTTTAATATGAGCACGAATGAAAGAAAATGGTGGTTTGTCCAAATAAAGACGATAACTTCTAGAAATAGTGTACAACCTGAACAGATTGTAAGAAGCCTTTATAAGAAACCGGTATATATTTATAACGGGCTGTTTTTAAACTATCTAGATGTCAGGTTGAGTATATGGTATGAGTCCAAAAGTTATAAAAAATGTGGCAAATAATTGCCCAGCAATTGTTTATTAGATAGTTGCCAAAAATCTCTAGACTTTGACGGATGTGATCACATCGATAACTAGCCAATTATAACTCCCCGTCGATATTAACAGTGCAGTGGAATCTTGAAGCAGTCGTGATGTATGTCAAGACTCTGGGGCTGCATGGAAACACGGACAATTATGTGAACTTTGTCAAAGGCTAAAGATATTCACACGTTGCACAATCCAAAAGAAAACTATGCCCCCGCCATGTGCGCAACTTGGTATAAACAACTCAATATGATCTCTTCGATATCGTCAGAATTTTTGCCATGGAAGGATGTTTTAATTTAACACATTAAAAGTTCATGTTTGAAAAGTACAGTCTATTCATTTTCTCAAAATGAATGATTCAGAATCAAAAGGGAAAACTTCATATTTCTCATGCTTCTATGAAAACTGAAAAATACACTGAGTCCAAGTACGAAGCAACAAAGACCCAGGTTGACCTTTGGACTAACCTTCTTAATGTAAGAATGATGTTGTCAAATCCATGTCGTAAAATTTTCAAACAAATGTACCAAGACATTAAATTGTTCCAACAAAAATTTAATCTGTTCAATTTCAACATATATTTTTTCTTCTTTCCATTATCAAAACATCTTGGCAACACTAAGAAAAAAAATTTCTACACATATAACAACCTAAAGATAATGCTATATCTTTAAAGAATTATGTGAAAAGAATCATAATCAATGGCTAAAAGTATCTTAAAATATGTATCTCACTTTTTTCCTGCATCTATAACATCAAAAAAATTATGGAATCTAAAATACTTCTAATATGAACAGTTGAATCCAATGGAGATTACAGATATAACCCTAAAAATCAGTTGATCATCTTCAAATTCAAATTTGATCAATACTTAGTAAAATAAGATCTGCACAATATAGATATAGGATAAATTGTACAGATTATATTGGAACTTTTTACAAATAACACTTGCATAAATAATCATTATAATCCTGCAAAATTCAGTTATGTTGCAAGTGTAGATTCCATCTTGTAAATTTGACGTTTGATTTATCTTCCATTATTTTTTCATGAGTGACTTCACGTTTTTTAACTTTGTTCTTGTGTATGGAAAACAAATAAATTGATTTATTAACTCATCTACGTATGCAATATTTCATTTTAAATTTATTTTTTAATTCATTCATAATTATAACAAGACACCTTTAGCATTGAATGTTTAGAAAGTAAAGATAATTTTATCATAGTTCATAAAAAGCATTTTTAAAAATACATAGAGTTAAGAAATATTGGAAAAAATATTGGAAAAATCTAACTAAATATAGAAATTTTTTTACAAAGTTATATGCATAGAATCTAGAAACGAATAATTTCTGAAAAGTGTGTATTGATTTGAATTGAATATATATTTCAATATACTTCTTGTAACAACAAATATTTATTTATTTATGTATTTATTTATATTATATTTAAATTAAAGTTAATCAAATAATTTCA